GAGTTTAATGAAGTATAATAAAATAAGATACGATAAGATGTCCCTTTATTGATCCCCAGCATAGGGGAATGTAGTACAAAGAGTTCAATAAAGAATCAAAAATAAGAATATTATACAATATAATAGATAATATAAGACTAGAATGAAAAATATATATGCAATAAAATGGTGTGCAAAATATCTTGAGCAGTGTATAACTAAAAAACCAAACTGTACCTGTGCAATTTAAAGATAATAATTGTGCGTCGTAGGTTGAAAGTTAAACCAGTCTTAATCAGCGGGGGTTGGAGGTACTGGGTGCTGTGGCGTTGTGGAGTCTGATGAGTCCTTTTCATCCATAATGAAGCAGTTCAGACGAATAGATAATTATGCATTTTGAGTATTTCTTACCCAAAAATGAATCTCACAGATCACTACTGAATGATACACATCAAAGAGGATTTATAAGTGGGTATATGCTCCATATACCTGCGTATATCCTGCACTGCACCATGATACTAACGCACCAATTCCTTTAACTTTAACTCCTGTCACACACTCGTATGAGGCCCAGGTGTGAAGAATGAATTAACACAGCTGACCACGTTTGCCTCCTACAGATGTTGAGTTTATGAAGGAAATCCTGTGAAATGATCTCCTGTTACTTTAGAGAGGGAGAAATGCACATTTTAATTAAAGTTATTACTTGCTCTGGCAATGTGAACGTCTGTTTTTCATTTTCCATTCCAGTCATTAAAGTCCCTTTGAATTTAATTAGAAATGCACTGCTAACCTGTCTGTTTTTCAGTGGTTCATTCAGTGCATGCTGGGATAGATTTCTGCCATCCACTGTCCACAAATGTGAAAAGAGACAAGAAATTAAAGACTTTGTAGATGTGATAAAACAAGAGTCATTTGAACTGTTCTCACCCGGTTTCCTTTAATTAAAGGTTGGAAAAAAACATCTGATTCCACAACATCTGGTAGTATCTAGAGTTCAAACCCAGGAAATAGCTGCACCCCTCCAACATGTCTTATCCATCATTTTATACACATTTCTTTAAAACTCTGACATTTTATATCACATATTCTTGGAAACTTTTGGATCAACACTAGAATTTTAAATAATGGTACTGAAGAGATTAAAACTATACATGTTTATTATTTTGAGAGCTTAGTGTAGCAAGAATATGAGCAGACAAAATGGGGGAAAAGTAACTAATAACAAGTTAAACTCAGATACTTTCTCCTTGCCTATACGTGGTAAAATGAAATGAAAATAGACAGTGAGGTGCTCTGCCGTGGACACAGTACACAACAGCACAGTTCAATATAAAACCTCAGTCTCTCCAGATGTAATGTGTCTGTGCAGCCACCGATCATATGTAGGTATATATTATCCATCCTTTTACTGTGTTGTGGTAATGGTGTTTGTTTTTGTGTGGTCAGTGTACCTACACAGCCGAGGAGTACCAGGCGGTGCAAAACGCTCTGCAGAGGAAGCTGGGACCAGAGTACATCAGTACTAGAGTGGCTGGAGGAGGACAGAGGGCAAGTCTTTGTTTATCTCTCTATTGTTTTCTGTTGTCACGTTGCAAACAAGCGAATTCATGTGTGTCTGTCAGCTGGGTTAAAGTGAATTTATCATCATGATTATGCACAAATGTGTATTTTCTTCAAGTGGAAACAATATGGAAAACATTTTACCAAAATGTGCCCATTTTGCACAAATCAGGTTGCATAAGAAGCACTGACATATAACCTTGCATCCGCCTCTCTCTCTCTTTCTCTCTCATGTCTCCACCTCAACCGACTCTTTCCAGGTGTGCTACATCGAAGGCCATCGTGTAATCAGCTTGGCCAATGAGATGTTTGGATACAACGGGTGGTCTCACTCCATCTCTCAGCAGAATGTCGGTACGACTCACGGCTTCTCGTTGGCTGTAAAGTCGAGCCCGTCGCCACAAAGTTCGACTAACAAAACACTTTGTATCTTTACAGACTTCGTCGACCTCATCAACGGGAAGTTTTATGTCGGAGTCAGTGCGTTTATCAAAGTGCAGCTGAAGGTTAGATGTTTGTTTTACTTTATTGATTGTAACTTATATTTTGTTTCACGACCCTCTGTTGCTCGTATTGTGTGAATTTGTATATAACCAGATGTGGGAATTATCTAAGTATAAATACTGTATTTAAGTTCTTTTTTCAGGTATCCATTCTTTACTTTAGTATTTATTTTTCTGAATACTTTGTACCTCTACATTCTTATACAAATATCTGTACTTTCTTACATTTCCAAAAAAAAGGCTCATTACTTTAGTTTAAATGCATTTGATGGGAATTATGGATTTTGATTTTGCGTCATTGCACGCCTTCCCAACATCAAAAGCTGTGCATGTGACGCATGACGGACAAGATGAAACAGACACGAGAGGGAGAATCGGCCATATTTGAAGTTTCAGCTTTGCACAGAAACATCCGGTAGAAATGTCCTTCAGAGAAACCAACAGAGTACTTTTTAACTTTTATACTTTTTCACTTTTTCTTGAGTAAAGAAGTTGAATCAGTACTTCAAGTGTGTTTTCTATTTTTGCCACCTCTGTCTGTAACTTGTGCTTTTCCCTCCAGGACGGGTCGTTCCATGAGGATGTCGGGTACGGAGTCAGTGAAGGACTGAAGTCTAAAGCTCTGTCACTGGAAAAGGCGAGAAAGGAAGCTGTCACTGATGGCATGAAGAGAGCACTGAAGTACTGGGATTTACATTTTTATGTATTATCAGTCTGAAATATGAAGAAAAACTCATTTAGAACATACAGTATTTCTAAAATATGTTTTACTCTAAGAGGTTCGTTTGTTTTGTCTTGTTGAGATGCTTTGGTAATGCCCTTGGAAACTGCATCCTGAATAAAGAATACCTCCTATCCATTAATAAAATCCCTAAACAGGTCAGATTCAGTATTTAAACTTTCAATTCAGTAAACATTCAATAAAAAAAGCTTTATTGAATTAAAAATTTCTCTGGATTCTGAATCTTCTTCTCCTTCTACACAAAGCCTCCTCCTCCTCTAGACCCGGCGAAGACTAAGCGCTCTGAGGGTGAGCCGTCAGTGGAGAAGGCCCGGTTCTCCAGTCTGGTCCGGGAGGAAAAGCTTGTATCTGCAGTGGGTCCTAGCAGGATGCCGCTGGAGCCCAGAGTCCTCAACCAGAACCAGAACTGTTCAGAAGTAAACACTCCTAATGCTGCTGGTCCTGCTCCCAACAGGGAGAGTGAGAATGTCGGCTCCAGGTAAACAGCGGGTGGGTCTAGTTTCTGTTTTTAATGGCACTCCTTCATCTCTTGTGCATCACCTGCTGTGTATTTCCTCCACTTCTTCCTCTTCTCCTAAGAACCGTCGTGGACTCGGGGGACAATGTTGGGTCTGGGGAGCACACAGACCCCAAACAGCTGAGAAAGCTCCGACAGCAGCAGCTTCAGCAGAAGTTCAGGGAAGAGATGGAGGCCAAGAGGCTGCAGCAGAAACAGGATCAAACAAAGTCAGACACAGAGGTCACTATTGGACCGGGAAGTAAGTCTTCACTCTGTTTAAAGGTCTCAAACTGCTGTGGAACGATGTTAGCGCTCCTCCTTTTTAAAGGTGGTGAGAAAGTTTCAGGCATCCTGCTGTAAAGTTCCTTAGTCACCATTGTCTTTTCTAAATGTTAACACGTCTCTCCCATCCTAAACAACAGCTGATCTGATCTAAACCTGTAACCGGCCAGCGTTAAATATATATATATATATATTATGTTATAATGTGTAGAATAATGCTGTTATATTACGTCTTCTTGACATGCTGAATCAGTCACTTCTGAAATCTACAGCATAAACCGATGTATCTTTCTATTTAGTTAATCAACTTTGTTTTGATGGCAGCATTATATTTTATTTTATTTATTATATCAGCCATCGGTCGCCTGCTCTCTAAATATTAGAAACTGAAAAACCCATATCGGGCGACCACTGATCCAGTGGATTGGTTTCCTGCAATACATTTCTCCCTACCTACAGTAACACTGTGAGATTGTTTACCTGCAGAACAGCAGACAGAAGAGGAGGCTGTCACATTTAATGCCACAAAAAATATTAAATGTCCAACTCTCTTTGAACAGCTAAACTGTTAGTGTTATGCAACAAGGCACAGCTTGCCAGAGTCTGTTTTTATGCTCTGATTTTGAAGCTTCGCAAGTAAATTAAATGATTACTCTGTGTTTTTTTTAATCTCTTCCTCCAGGTCATGAAGGTGTACCTGCGTTGAGTGAGAGCGCCTCAGCTGGACACAGGAAGCCCAGCAGCAGGGACGAGTATTTAGCAGGTGCTGTAAGCCACCACCAGAGGGCTCAACATACATCTCTTCACCAGCTTCACTCAGTCTTTCACTGCTCTCTCTTTTTCTCTGCAGATGATCCTGAGCTTTGGGATTTCACTCTGGATGGGATTGAGGAGGTGGATGTCCCTGCAGACGGCCCACCCTCCAGAGGGCTCAGGCCCAGCACGCCCGGAAATCACCAGATGCAGACGAGGAGCAAGACCCCTCAGAGAGCCCCGGGAAGACCTCCAGAGGAGGCCCCGTCATACAGCAGGGGACAGGACTGGGCTCTGTCCAGACCTCAACATCAAAACCAGTATCAGGCGAGACCAGGTGAGGATTCATGAGAAGAGTCACTGATCTGTTGGTGGCTGAATTTTGAGTTTTCAATCTACTTTTTCAACCTTACAGGTGAAGTCTTGAGTCCGTACAGACAAGGACAGTACATGAAGAAACGCCGACTGGACACTTGAGAGTTTATCTTACTGTTGCACAGCTTCTTTAAATCCTTTGATGTTATGTTTGTTTCATATTTATTTCAATGTTGATGAATTCAAGTTTATTTTGTAATGCTGCTATATCTGATATTTGGACAAATGTTATCTGGTTTTGTAAAAAATAAATAAAAACATAACTACTAAGTCTGTCAGCTGTTGTATTATATGTGTACATAAGTATGTATGTGTATATGAGACAGTACTGTAATACAGGGGCCATTTTCAGCCCTCCGTCCACCTCTCTGGCCCGCAACATAATGTCAAAAAGTAATATAATCTGGCCACAAGATTATAATCTTTTTTTTCCTGCTTTTTCATTTCAGATTTAAACGACTCCTTCATATACAATTTAAATAAAAACATTATTCTATTATTATTATTATAAAGTAAAATGGTGCAAAATAATGGTATAATGGCCCACAAATGAGAGCAGGTTTTGGGGCTTTTTTGTTGTTTAATTGTGAACAACAAAGATTATATAAAAAATTATAGAAATAGCAGTTTGCATTTTTCTTAAGTAGGATGTTAATAATGGAAATATTTCATAAAATGGCTCCTTCTTGTAGTATTTTAATGTTGAAGTGGCCCCAAGACAATTTGAGTTTGAGACCCCCTGGTGTAGTGTTTGAGATACAATATATACATTATACCTATAATTATTAAAAAACAATTAGTAAAAAAAAAGAGTAAATTAAAATAAGTCTGGTTGCAATATTATTTTTATTTGTTTTTACATTTTGTACAATGTGAAAAACATACACAAAACAGACACTGAATCACAGGAAGTCAGTAAGGAGGGATCAGAAATAAGAGACAGATATTACTGTGTGTCAGTAGCGTCAAACAGTACTGTACAGAAGTCTGATAATTACTGATAGTAGCATTGTAGCACATGGACCTTAAGCTTCGTTGAGAGCTTGTGCTGTACAGTGGCCAGTTGTGAGTTGGTTGTCATTTGTAAGATTAAACATCAGTGAAGCCGGCATGCAGAAACCATATGCTGATAGTCTGATATTGAAGTTGTGCCTGTGATATTGGTGAATGGCAATTCAACAGATCAACACTAAAGTGATGAGTCCCAGAAAGGCAAATAATAAAAAAAAAAAACAACAACAAAGATCTCTAATATTCCAATATCAAAAACACTGAAGTCTGTAACAACCCTCATCAGCATGCAAATGTTTCCATTACCCCCTCAGTCCCTTTAAAACTTTTAAACATTGCATATTCTGCATTGCAGTAACTTATTTTTTCTCTAGAGAAGTTTAACTATTCATCCAAATCTACGAGCGGGCGAAAGAGTCACGATGACAGCATGGCACTCGTGTGAGAGGTGGGTGAGCCGGCACGAGGGCGCGACAACTTTTAACCCTTTTATACACAACTCACTCGCTGCCCTTAAACAAGTGCTTCTATTAAAACGGTTTAATGATAAATCCACAAAAAAAAAGAGAAAGAAATGTCAGCCTTTTTTTTTTTTTATGAATGCATGAGCCAAATATAAATACACAGCTGATTACACAACCAACACAAATGTAACTGCAGAGAGAAAAAGAAACGGTTTTCCACATTACTCAGTGTGCTCTTTGTTCTGCAGTCCTGTCCTCTGTGTGTGTGTGTCTGTGTGTGTGTGTGTGTGTCTGTGTGTGTGTGGTATCCAGTCGCATGTTTAAGATGTGTGACGGTTATGGAGCCACGTATTTTTCTGCAGTACAGTCACAACTACAGGACTAGATGAGTCTGGAACTTGTCATTAGTGAGGATGCAAGGCACTAAAGTGTTCCTCATGTTTACAGGTTAGAGTGCATGTGCATGTAGAGAGAGAGAGAGGAGGGAAGAGGGGGTCACCACAAGCATACTCTAGTGACTGAGCATTAGGTGAAAGCATTTACCTCACATTAACATATATACAATTAAATAGAAAAGGGGGGCAGGGCAGTCATACGATAGAAGAGCTTAATAAACCACAGGATTACTCCTGCCTGGTGAGTAGCATACCAATAACAACCACCCTGCAATTGCACTTTTTATATTCCTTAACTACATGTTGTTTAACAACCTTTAATAATAATTACAGTGAAACAACATCAAAATCTGATGGCTGAATACAGGTCCATAAAGAACATTTGTTTTATTAAATATACGCATACAAAAACAGACCACAGAAAGAGAGAACCCCAGACACTTGTGATTTGAGAAGTGACAGCTAATGTTATGTTTTTTAATGTGAGATGACTTTACTAACAACCTGTTTGTCCATGCACCGTCTGTCTAAACAACTGGGAGAAGTTGGGAGGATGCGTCCCTTTTACACAAATAACTACTGCAATAAACCAAAACTATTTCATTTTGTATGATAAGTAGATTTTGAACGGTTCATAATCCATTGATAAGCACTAAGTGAAGTGGTTTCATGTGTCAACTTGGGATTCTAAACAAGATTTCATTCTTGTTTAAAAAAAAAAAAAAAAAACACAAAACAAAAATCGAACACCCTTCAAACACCCTCCTACCCAGATTGTGATTTACAGCAGCATCACCTCTTCAAGATTCAAACTCCAAATGGTGGTCAACACCAGGACAATGCTTCTCCTTTTTTTGTTTTTATACATGGCAGATCCACTGGCTTACACGAAGAATAAATCAGTATGATAATAAATCTGTACAGACAACTCAAATCACAATGACACCAGACTCTCACAGGGACATTAATATGCTAAACATGGAATCATAACCCAGTGAAGAAGTATCTATGTACAAAGTCAATGTTTAAGTGTGTTTGGAGATTAAGGCCACAGTTACAAGGGAAAGTATATCTACTCTTTTCCATTATTGCATTTTTCGCCACTGGGATGTATTCATACTGCAACCCTATCCATTACACTCCTGCCTAACTTACTACGTCTTTCTTCTACCTCCACCAGTCTTACTTTCCCATCTGGGACAAACTGTCCCACTCTTATCTCCCACTTTCAAGTACACTCCCCCCCTCGCTCTCCGAGACAACTTAACCTTCCATCCCAAGTCACTCAACCAGATTAATGTTTAGTCAGGTGTGCGCACACAAACACGTGTGTGTCTATGTGGTGAATTAGTTTAGTCTTCAATCCCAGTTCGGCTTAAAGTCAGGACCAGTAAGGTTGTGAACCAGAGTGCTTCCTACCTTCTCCTCTTCAAAAGGAATGACAACATTACAGCGTCTGCTCTCAAAAGACATCTTTGGCGGTTGTTGGTTATGCCTTTGGGTCAGTAGATTACCAGACAAAACCAACCGACTCGTCACAGCTCGATTCCACAGCTAATGGCAGGCTAAGTGTGGATGTGTATTGCACTCTCCCTCCAATTGCCTGACAGAGTTCGTTCTGCCTGAGAGGACTTGAACCACACAGGTCAGCTCTTTTACAGAAAAAAAAAAAAACCACATAATAATAATAAAAGTAAATAAAATAAAAAATAAAAAGCACAATATCCAGCTAGCTAACCTGCAATCTGCCAAGAGAGCTAGTGGTTGTTGTTCAACGACTGTCTGCCCTGTGTGGCCCTCCGTCTCAGCCTTCACCAGGGCTCTGACTGGGCTACGTAGGCCTCAGGTTGGGCCCTCCGGGGCTGACTGATTTCTGGGGGGCTGGTGCAGCTCCGATGTGATAGGCTGTCACCGCCGGCTGGTACTGTGTTAGTGGCTGTGCAGGGTTAAGCATGCTGACCTGGCATGTGCCTGTGGGTCCTGGCCACGGAGGAGCGCCGTACGAGGCCGAGGCGTATCCAAACCCCGGGGCAACTGGGCCCAGAGAGCCTTTACGAGGCCCCTGGGGGATGGAGGGATTGGCTGGGTTGGGGAGGTGAGTGGTGGTGGTGGTGGTGGTGGACGTGGTGTTGGAAGGCGTGGGAAGCGTTGGGCAGAGATACGCTGGAGCTGAGAATTTACGGCCCATGTTAACTGGAGGGATAATCTGCAAGACAGAAATAAAGAAGAGTTACTACTGAATATGCAGCATTAGTACATGACACAAACCCAGTCATAAAATGCTCCAATGACAAGACACATTCAAACAAAGTACTGAATGCGTACGTCTTGTCCCAGTGCTGCCTGTGGGACAGTTTTAGGACCCCTCTTGCACTGGGAGAGGTTGATGGCGTCCCTGGCCCAGTTATCCACCAGTTGGTGCAGGTCATCAGTGAAGGTGCCCTTGCCCTTCTGGGTGTGAGATGCAGGAGGAGTGGGTCCAGTCGCCTGGGTCAGTGTAGCAGAGTGGTTCTGGTAGTGGCCTGAACCATTCGTGGAGCTGGTCCCACTGGATCCTGGGAAACAAGAAGGGAAGTGAACTTGTGTGTGCTGGTGGGAATGTGGCAAACTAAGCTTTTGGCTTTTTACTCGCTAAGATTTTATTGCACTTAATGAGTGTTGTTATCAACTCGATGTTATCTTCAGGTTATCTGCTGACTGTATGTTTATGTGTGTGGAGAAGCTCAGCCCTAACACACAGAGAGCGGGGAGGGGCTGCAGTGTGATAACAAATTACATGTAAAGGTTAAAAAGTAAATAAAAAAAAAAGAATTTGCTTTCCAGGACCTTTCCAGGACATTTTACAGGAGTTTGTCTTGACAATACAGGTCAGCCATATGGGGTCCTCATTTCAGGGACACACTTATTCTCACCTCAGTTGATTTCCCTCCACTTTCTGACCGTAACATTAATTCAGCCACAGCACAGGATAGAAAACAATTAAAAATTCTAGGACAAACTAGATTATTTCCAGGATATTTGCTCATTTTAATCAATTTCCAGGTGTTTCCATGACGCACAGGAATCTAAAAATAATACACTTTTGCTGGAAATACGTCTGTAGACGGAGCTCTTGCATGTGAACTAGAAAATAAATTCAGGGAAATCAATTCAAGTAGCTCACTGTGACACGATTATATGCCAGCACGTACCTGTGGAGCAACTACTGAGGCTGGGCATGGATGGAGATGATCTGAGCTGCTGTATGGATGACCTGCTAACTGCCTGTGATGCCTCCGTTGCTGAGGGTGAACTTTGCTTTGGAGAGGACTCTGAACCATGAGGACTCTGAGCAGAGGCTGGGGATCCTAAACATACGAGCAGAATACACAACAGCGTGTAAACATTTACCCAGGAATGTACCATTTCAACAGCTTCAGTGATTAGAAAAGCATGTACCCAAAACACAAATTGTAGGTTGGTATTACATTTCCAGCCAAAAAAAACCCCTGAAAAGCCAGTTCCCTGCCCTTACCTGAGTGCAAGGGGCTGGGCTGTCCACTACTGCGGGCAGATTTGTGGCTTTTGCGCCTACGTCGACCTCCAGCCATTGCCACAGCCGGGGAGAAGACAGAGTGGGGAGGAGGTTTTCCCATCCGTGTGAACAGAGACTCTATCTCCTCTTTCTGACGAGTCTGCAATGCCTGGATCTCCATCATATGTCTGGGAAAGGGAGAAGAAAGGAGCAAAAAAAACCAACATACAAATCAGGTTAAAATATTTCTTTTAAACTGTGAAGTGAAGTGTGAAGTAGGATTGAGAACATGCAACCTACTTTTCTCTGAGACGGCTGATTTCTTTCTGCAAAGCTTCGTCTTCAGTCTCAGAGTCGTCGTCATTGTCACTACTGTAATGAGTATGTGTGTTAGGAGGATCAGAGGTTGAGGATGAGGGACCATTCTGCATACTGGAGCCATGTGAAGGACTGGAGCCTGCTGCTGGAGCTGGGGTTACTGAGGGAAATCAAACACATCAGGCCATTACTTCTTATTCTGTGCACAGGATGAAGAAAATCTGTGTTTGGTGCAAACTTACTGACCAAATCTAAGGATTGTTTTCAGTTACAGTTAAAGTACAATGGGCTGTAAAGCTCAGTAGATAGATATGTTTTACTGAACAGCAAATACCATCAAAGCTTTAATTATTAATTCCCACCGCAGCCTCTGCCAATAGGATCCGATTAAGAAATATTGAATGAGGCAGAGGCAAAGCTGCCTCCACAGAGTGCATGACTATAAAGACACCTCAGAGTGCATTATACTGCTTATACCACGGCCCATCAAAGGAAAAGTGTGGCTGTGATAAAATGGGCATCCATTTTTAAACCACTTATAATGATTAATTTAGTCTTTTTAGCTACAGTGTCAGCAGTGAGAACAACTCATCAGTTTTGTATGATTCTGTGTACCGTAGTATGACCCTGTGTAAGGAAAGCTTTATACTAGTTTAGCAAAGCTTCCAACTTTGCTGTGAATGTGTTACGCACCGGTGACAGAAAAACGTCCCACTTTAGAGCCAGTGGTTGGCGCAGATGTGGCGTTGGGGCTCGTGGACACTTGGAAGCGCCCAATAGTGGTGGACTGACTGGCAGGAACGGCAGAGAGAGACGGAGCTCCATTTACACCGTCAGTTTCGCAAACTCCTTTGGCCAGAGAAGATGACCTGTGGAGGGTATTTTCTGGACTTGAGGGGGATGAGGATGAGGAGGAGGAAGATGAAGAAGAGGAGGAGGATGAGGAGGATGTAGAGGATGGCGTGAGGGACGAAGAGGAAACGACGCTGCAGGCATCTGGAACGTTACTGGACACACCATCAGCAGCAACAGACACCTGAGAAAGAACAGAGGGAGAACATCTGAATCAACTGCAGCCAGAGGGTTAAGAGAATTAACCAGATACAGTTTAAGTTGTCACTAAAACTTACTTGGAAACGTCCCAGAGTGAAACCTGCTGCTGGGGGCTGGACTCTGTTACCTCCCTGAACAGTCTCTGGGCTCAGAGCTCTCCTCAACTCAGCATCCAAATTACCCAGGGGTTGCTGTGACTGTGGAGTCACACAAACAGGATATATAAAAGGTGCAATCCATACATATATAGACCTACACTATTTGTTAAAAACCTACACACACAAAAAGTAGTACACCTCACCTGGTTTGGTCCAGGAAATGGAGGTACAAGGTCGGAGGGAGGCGTAGCAGCTTGATCAAAACCAGTAGGTAACGTCTAAAAAAATATAACAGAGGATAGTAAATTTAAAACAGTTTTAAAATCGCAGTGAACAGAATTTGGGATTTATTCTTGGTTACTGCGGTTTCCACTAACCTGTGCCCTGGGCTTTGTTGGAGGCGTCTGTGCATGTCCTGCTGGGGTGGTTGTGGAACCCAGGACACCTTGTACCCCTGATGTGAGAGAAAGGTTTGATGGGGGCACGAGGGCGGCTCCAGGCGGAGGGGAAGAAGTCCCAGTGGGAGGAGAGCATGTGCCTGTGTTCTGACTGGGATCCAGTGATGGGGCAGAGCTCTGGTCTTTAAAAAGGGACCGTAGCTTCTTATCTAGAGCTTGGATATCATCTCTGCCAGCGGTCTTGGTCTGGAGCTCAGCCCCCTCCGACTCCACTGGCTGTGGCTGCACCTGGCCCTGACTGGGTAACGATGTGGGAGGAGCGGGCTGAGCAGAAATGGGGACAGGTTGACACTGTGAGGTCGCGTGCTGTGGTCCATGGATGGCCGAACTAATAGGCTGAGAAGACGTAACAGCACTATTAAAAGGCTGCTGCTCTGAAGCAGGGACTGCGCCAGTACTACTGGGTGTAACACTAGCAACAGAAGAGACAGAACTACCGCTCAGTTGAGGCACAAGGACTGCTGGGACGGAGGTCTGCACTGATGGAGGAGTAATGGTGGAAGATGAGGGAGGGATGCTGGCAGCTGGTGGATGCTGTGAGGGGGCTGCTTCATGGGAAGACGGTGGGCTGGGATCACTGGTGACAGGAGCTGGAGTTTGGGACACGGTGGATATAGGCGAAGGGGAAACCCTCCCAGCAGAGGCAGGTGGTGAGGATGTTGCAGTAAATGGGAGAGACGCAGCAGGAAAAATAGCGCCAGTGGTGGAAGTTACAGCTTCTGGAGGAGCCAGTATTTTGTTAGAATTTGGGACGAGTACAGCTTCACTGGATGTGACGGGGCCTGGTTCTTGGTCAGCAGGATCGGGATCAAGTGTGCTGCTTCTCTCTACACGAGCCTGCCTCATTTTACTGAAAGCCTGCTGGAGAGTCCCAGATGGAGCAGACAGAGACAGGCCCAATGTCATAGAGGGAGCTAGAACAAAGTAAAAAGAGGAAGTCATTATACGAAAAATTTAAAACAGAAATTGACAAAAATATAAAATTTGCATTTTGCGCATCAGTAAAAGCTTATGTGAACAGTTGTGTAACTCTACATAGGGAAGAAGGTCTGGAGGTTTCATGTTTCTTTACACATTGTACTTTTTTTAATAGAAATTATTAATAGTTACTGCTAAATTATCAGGTTACATCTGATGACTGATCATTTGCAGGATGTATTTTTTATCTCAACACAACAGGTGATCAGGCTATAACACTTACAACCCTGTCAAGTGTAGTACAAACAGTGGGGACAGTTCTACAGAGAATACAACTGATGTTTCACTCACCTGGGGCAAGTTCATCTCCAAAGGAGGTATTAGCAGAAGGAGAGCCAAAGAACTGTTCTCTGAGACGGGACTCTGGCACTGGGCTGACTATGAACCTTCGTCCTGCTGAATGCACCACCTGGGCTGTAGTGCTGGGGGAAATGCCTGAGAGAAAGGTCAAAAGAAAAAGGTCAGATGTGAGCTGAGAGCTGGACTTTATCAAAATCAATATCTTGACATTAAGCACTGTATTTCTGGATAAAGTTTGTTAACCTGGCAACATGGGAACAGACAGCTCAGGCTGTTGTTGGTGATCAATCATCTGCAAAAAGATAAAAATATAGGTGGTTACATCCTCAGGTTCAGCAGGTGGGTCAAAACTGTCAATGTGTGAAGTTTACTGAAGAAATACCTGTGGAAAGCCTTCCTTCATGCCCTCTCCTTTCTCATCAGCCATTTCTATAACTTCACGGACCTGCTCGATGAAGGACTCCCGCTCACTCTCCAAGATGAACTCACTTGCAACCTGAAACAGAAATCAAAAGAAATGAAACTACTGAAACTAAAACTACATGTACTGTTACAGTGTGACTGTCATTAATAATGTCTGCTGCGTCAACCAAACAAAAAAGGCAGCAACGTTAGTTTTATGTGCCCTTTGTTTCTTGTTTTTCAGTTGCAACGGATTGTCATTCAGTTGCCAATTCAACTCTATTAGTATATAGCATGTATAGAGAATATACTTATAACAAACATTAGACAGTTAACATTTCCTAAACGTTTAGTGGAAAAAAACTAGAGAGCTCTATTACCATGATTTCTGCAATCTCTTCCGGATTATCACCATCAAGGTCAAATTTGAAGGTCACCATCTTCCTGTTGTGCGTTTCTAGCTGGCACTCTGCTACTCTGTCCCCCACATTAGAGATCTGCAAAACATTCATTCAGGTTAAAACTGTGTAGTGACAAAGAGCTTGAGACAGCATAAGAATGAACTCATCAGTACAAATGCTTACACTAAGAACATTTAGCTTGGCCCTTGCAGTCTTCTCGTGGCGGGAGCGGCTGCGGACGGATCTTCGCTGGTGGCGCTTCAGCGAACGGCCCTCGTGGCGACCTCCTGATGTAGAACTTCCATCATTGCCGTCACTAAGACCAGAAGCTGTGTCTGACAGGCAGCTGAAAGAGAAATGGACCCATGAGAGAGAGATTGGATACATTATGCAAATGCTTTTTTTAAAAATAACTTCCTTCTCACCTTTCTACAGATGGTGGCACCAGAACAGCGGACCCTGCAGGCTGATCCACTGGTGTTGACTGAGGGAGACTCACAGCCTGAAAAACAGAAAACTTTCACAATCAAGCACTTCATGTCAAAAGCAAATCTCAAAATGGAAAGTCCTATTGTTCGTACATTGCTCTTTTGGAATGATTCAGCACAGCAAACCGATGATTATATATCATTTACTAATTATTTAATTCATTGAATCTTATTTTGGTTATTTTTGTTGACCAACTACTTACAAGAGATTTAAGATTTAAACCAGACCATCCACCAGGAGGAGCTAATTAACCTGATACAAAGAGCTACGCCATTATTCAGCTCTAAGCCAGAGTGTAAATATTGCTGTGCAATTAAGTTTTTTATTTAATTTACTGCAGAATGGAAATTTTTTTCTCTGGTGTGCTTATATGGATATATGTTACATTTAATAGGTTACTGCTGTTCTATCAATTTCCAGTTCCAGTCCTGTGGGTGGTTACTGGTTTTTGTAACTGTAATAAAAAATATGTTTATTTATTACATGCACACAGATTATATCTATTGGGGTACTGTTTTCAAGTGAAACCTTTGACCCGCTAGATTTTCAGAACAGCCAGAAGGATATGAAATTGTAAAATTTTAACTAAAAGGCAACGTAAACAGTCAGTCACGTTCCTTTTGGTCAAAATTTAACAGTCAGTCACGTTCTATGTTCTCACATATTACTGTAGCCACTGCCCACCATATGTTAATATGTTAATCCTATATTTATTGGTGCTCTGTAATCAAATTTACTATTATTAGATTTATATTGAATAAAATAAACATATCAAAAAATATCTAAATGGCATGCTATTCTTTTGAAGTAGGAATGTACACACAATTCAAGGAACAGAAACCGTCTAAGGAGGTGTGAATGAAGAGCTTCACACCTGACACACATACAACCACACACCCACACACCCACGCACACACTTGTTTTGTGCTCTGTAGAGTACCTGCAGAACAGAGAGGCATGAGGCCTGATAGAGGAAGTATAGATGTTCTGCGTTGAGTGGAGGAGACATGATAGGAGGACTTGGATCACTGGCCCAAGACTAAGAGTCATGCAGGAATATGCAGCATGCAAAAGGAAAAAGTGGGAAAAAGAAGGGGGGACAGCCATGGTAATGAGAGTTATGTGTTCAGAGACAGGAAAAGAAGATTAAGAAAAACGGCAAACATAAAAACTGATAGCAAGAAATTGTAGTAGGGTCAAGCAAAACAGTGGGATTAATGACCTAAATGCCTATATATGTCAGTATATGTCTAAAAGCAAGATCAAATAATACAAAATAAAATAAAATAATTAAATTTGATCTTGTTATGTGCGAGCAGGGAAGGTGTGTGTGTCACCTGTAGCTGCTGAGCGCCCGTCTGTGTCTGTGGTAGAGTTGAGCTCTGAAGAGTACTGCTGCTCTCCGGCTGTTGATGCTGTTGGGGGGGAGACGACTGAGAGGATGGGGGTATCATCACTTGCTGGGTGGGAATCTATAAAAACAGAAGGGATACAGATGGATTAGCAGAAACAAGAATAAAATTAGGAAGGTAAAATGTTGAGGTAAAGACTGACGCACAGTCACAGTGGCATTTAGGCTACTTCCTGAAAACCTGGTTTCTTTCTAATCTAAATCTTTCAGATTCACTTTGGCCCTATTCCAAAGACACACGCACTTACCTGTTGGATAACGTCACTGCATAAATCAGACCATTTACTCATTTGACAGAATGGGGATTCAAGGTATAGATACAATACAATACAGTGTATTCTGGATACATGCACATTGCACGTCAACCCACACTGCACCTGCAAGTTTTAAAAACAAAACTATTTTTTGTCCTGATAACATATTTTCCATTTTTAAAAAGCCTACTACAACTGAGTCAAAACCTGAAAAGTAACCATAAAGGCTGCTGCGCAGACCAATATAGACAATATGTTTCTTTAGTTTCCCAGAACATGTTATCCGAAAGTCTGTGGTTGTATTTAAAAGTGATAACAGGAAAATGGGACATTTTATCTACCTGAGGGGGAAGCGATGGTTGGTAGTAAACTCCGTACTATAAGAAACAAAACAGCACAGGGTAAGAGTAGGAAACTTGAAAACGAAAAGAGACGAAAAGCAATCTAAGGAAAATTAACAGAAGAGATCTCTCAGGATTTGGAACACTCAGCGGTTTTCACCACAACCGCCTGTAGTAAACAATACAGGCTTTAAAGGTTAACTTAACACCCTCTGAAAATCAGATTTTGCTGACCTTGACTGGCTGAAGTTCAGGTTTGCTGCAGTGATATAGACGTGTATTCAGGGTGTGTTCAGTACAACCTAACATATCTAACAGTGTTGCTGCCACAGATTTGAAACCTTGAACCAGAGGTCAGTGAAATAATGCTTTTTAAAATTGGTGTGAAGTTACTCTTTAAAGATATTAAGACATGCAGTACAACAACAACATATACCTGTGAAGGTGCCACTGGAACAGACTGGCTGCTGGGTGCAACAGGAACAACTTCAGGCTGGACACCTTGCATCTGGGGTTGAACCTTATGCACCACCGAGAGAAAACAACACAACATGTAGTAAAAATGAGGCGAAGAAGACTTCTTTTAAATGTTTATTTCATTCTAAGGGGGGAAACACACCATGGGGAAACCATTTGATTCTCTTCAACACGCAAGATTATGTCCTATTTTCAAACTTGACTCACCACTGACAACTGCTGCTGTTGCATTTGGTCATTTTGTGTCTGCGGGCAGGACACCTGCAGCTGAAGGTGCTGACTGGGAGGAGAACTGTAGGATATTCCAGATTGAGGAGGCTGGGCTTCAGGAAGGATGGAGGAACCAGACAGTCTTTCTCCAATGTGACTGACTAAGAGGGGGACAAGAAGGTTCATTTATGAAAAAAATACTCCAATCCATTCAAACCATTTTATTATCATACAGTGGACTGTAGTCGTGTTTGACTATAACTTGATTGTGTATAATACACACCTCCAGTGTGCTGTAGTTGTTGGTGTTGGTCCGTCTCAGGCTCCTCTGACTCTGGCTGGATGGTAGCCACACTCTGACCCTGAACTGAAACTGGGACATGCCCTGTTGATTGAGGGACATAAGGGACCCCTTGTGCCATGCTGGTCAGTTGGTTGGACTGAGGAGTGCTGTAGTTAGAGCTCTGAAGGCTCTGCTGAGATGCAGGTTGGGCAGACATCTGTGTGCTGTGTTGGTTTGGTTGTGGAGACGCATAAGAAGCAGGCTGTGGCACTGGCTGGGACTGAGGCACATCTGTGCCTGGCTGTGGACCTGGTTGCGGTACTGGCAGTAGCTGACTCTGCTGTTCTTCTTCTAGCCTTCTCTTCTCCTGATCTTCCCTGACCTACAAGACAGTCAGCAGCAAATCTATTAAAATCCCTCAAGGCAGCATTGATCGACAACATATCACAGCACAGGTGACTTCAGCAAGTAGTACGCGTTAATAATGTTAGATGCAATATGGTGAGCATGGACACACCTGCTGCCGCTGCGCTCTCTTGCGACAGATTAGAGACACCCTGTCCTTTATGGCCTTTGCAATGGTCTTGTGGTCACCGTCGCACACATAACCAGACTCAACCTACAGCACAAAGAAATGTCAATACAATCCAGCAGTAAAAACCATTTAAACTAACATCGTTTCTCTTACAGCCTTTAATAGTAAGAGTATTGTCCTGTATGTTTTTTTAACTGATGAAAGCATTAAAAGTTCACCATTTCCTGAGCCACATCCTCTGGGACGTCTTTGTTGAGGTCAAAAGAAAACTCAATAGCTTCGTTGTCTTTGTACTTCCCCTTGAGTTTCTTTACATCCTCAATTCTCAGCCACAGCTTAATAGCTTCCATCTCTCCATCGTCCTCTTCCGCCAACTCCACACGCACCCCTGTGTCCTCCTGGAAGAAGGCGTGGTTCAGAAGGTCCTTGATTGAATACCTAAACAGAGGGAGACGAGCAGTGAGCAAATATGTTTTCCTGGAGAGCTAGACTAACCAGTTAAATGTCAGTTAAAGTTAGAGACCTCTCGTCTTTGTTCTGGCGAATACATCCTTCGATGATCTCCTTCACTTCAGGAATGGCCACCTTGTCAAAGCTGCCCGGCTTCACCCCCTACAGGAAACACAGAACACTGAATGAGAATGATTCTTCTCCTCATTTGAGCTTCTCTTATTTTGGAGACTACCCCATACCGTGCTGTTTTTTTCAGCTCAGAGTACATTAGTGCCACAAAAATATTTGATGACTAAGATAATCACAGCCTTTAACTTAATCTTCTAATTCTGTTTTAGAATGAATCTCAAATGTCAAAGTATGAAGTGAAATTGGTTACTTCTAAGAAACTTAACCTCTACAGCAAACCATTCAAATACTGTTAAAAGGCTAGAATGATTTCTACGGGATGGCATTTAAAAAATGCAGAATGTCAAGTGATGGGAAAAGGAGGGCACAAGTCAGTAGAGGACGGCTAAAGAGAGGTGATGAATTGAGCGAATAGCAACAGGAAACTGCAATAGCACTACAGGAAAATGGAGGACTGGCTGAGAGCTGAACAGCTGAGCTAAATGTCAGAATAGAAAGAACAACAGCACGTCTCCCAAAGGAATAGTAATGTAAAAACGAAGCATGTGACACCACCTAAATGTAGGCTCAACACCACAATAACACTTTGTTTCTCTACTGAGTCAACTATGTTTGGTGCTCTGCAGTATGAGCTATTTGTGGCTCATAAAAAGAGAGCTTTAAGAACTACTTTAGAATACTTAACAGTGGGGTAAATAAAAATCCTCTGTTGAAACATGTGGCAAAGACTTTGTATTTGAACTTTGCAGTTAATGATAAACTGAGGATACTGGGATCGATTTCAAGACACGTTTTGTAGATAACACTCTAGGAACAAGTTTAACTTTATCTATGACTCTTGTAATTGCAAGAGTATGAATCATATCACTGACTATGCATTTCAAAAGTAAGCCAGTATCAACTGTATGAATAAGACTAAAAATATGCGTTTTTTCAAAGACAGTTACTGCCCTTCTGGCGTCATCACAAGACAGAAACATTAAGCAGGACTGTGCTTGTTCAGCCTCTTATCAGTCACCCACACCTCAGGTCTACATGCTTAACCAACATACACCATAATTCAGAAGGAAAGAGACAGTATGAGGTTAAGCAAAGGGGTCTGTTGGTGTGGTCTTGTGGGTTCTTCAAACAAGGCAATAGGAGATCATTGGGGAGATACAGGAATACACTCAAGTTTGGGAGGTGAAATACAATAATAGAAGATAGAAATGTAATATAAAAGGTTTTTAAGAGGTGTCAGTGAGGGAATATAAAATCATTCCAGAATGGGACACTAGCCTTCTTGGCATATAGGAAGAGGTGAAGGCAGGGCAGAGGGGTGACATGGAGGGTTGAAAAGAAGACTTACGCTGGTAACTCTGCGGTAGATCTGTGCAGCATTCTGGCACTCTGAGTAAGGGTACTCTGAGGTGGCCATCTCCAGCATGCACATTCCAAAGGCATACACATCCACTGACTCGTCGTACTTCTCCTCATACATCTCAGGCGCCATGAACTCAGGGGTACCTTAAATCAAAACAACTATTCAGAACTCTCGAACTCCCTTACTGATTGAGTGGGCTTCTCACAACCCATTGCCCCTCTGCTCCTCTAACCCGTGAGGGGTTGAGGAAGAGGAGGATGAGGAAGAGTGACCAGCCTGTTGACACCTCCTGGAGTTGAACCTGTGAGGTGAAAGTTGGAAGAGAGAGAGAGAGAAAAAAAGAAAAGGGGAAGGAAAGCAAAAAAAGAGACAGAAAACAAAAAAGGAAGGAGAAGCTGGGCTCAGTTAGACTGTAGAGAAGAAAGCACCTGTTTGTCTGTGTAAGACCTTAACATGTTGTGATATAAGAATGTGACTGAGGTAGCCAATGTGCAGAACACACTTGTTAGCCAGAATTAATTTGTATTTGCAATGTTCAAAAGCTTTAAGAATGAGGCACTTGAGAATAACACCTAGGCCAGAATACAGTGTTATTTTTATTTTTTTTCCGAAAGGACGCCAATGATCTCAGCAAGAGAAACATGACTAGCTATGGAAATAACTTTTGTCAAGACCTTACCTTACAACCACAATAAACACAGTCTTTTATAGTACACCCACCTTTCGAAGTCTGACTTACCATCTCTTCTTGACCTGCAGGGGGAAACTGTTATGGTCAAGGCTGAGAGAAGCAGATCCCATAGCTAGTTACTGTGCTCAGCAGTGTGTCTTTGCACATCAGCCTTGTTCTATTAATTGAATCATTTTACATTCAAACTCAGGTCTTACACAGAAAAACTCATTTGGTAATTTGAATGTAATTGTTTTTGATATTGATGTGTGTTACAGCACACTGTCAGACTTACCAGGCCCATAAAAGATCATACTTACTCAATGACCAGCAGTACCCTATTCATTCCAAACAGCAGAATGGGGCACAGCTGAGGCTAGAGCCTACATTTTAAAAACATACCCAGGAATGTGAAAGTAAAAAAATAAATAAAATAAAAATAAAACAAACAAAAAACAAAGGCAAAATGCTGACAGAGAGAAAGTGGGGAGAGCTCCCTGGACACAAAGATGGAGCAAAAAGATTCTGCGGCCCTGCAATATTTTAAAAGACAATAAGAGACAAACACTAGATAAAAAAAAAAAACCTGTTGAGGCAAACCCATAGAAAGAGATGTTAAACATTATTGGTATAACTGGCAAACAGACCACATATTTCCAAACCACAGAACAAAGACCAGTCTATGACAGAAGCAAAGGCCATACCTTTAGCCATGGCCAGGTTAGCCTGCAAGAAGGCATGACAACTATTATCATAATGATATTAATATTTAACAGTATGAGAAACGTTAGGCGCTACTTACATTCAGTAGGTGCCTGGAAAAAAAACCCTCTCTTTTTTTGGAGAAACATAGAACAGAAATATTCTGTACAATGACCAAACTTGATAGAGTTTCTGTGTGAGTGCAAAGAGAGAAAGCCTTGTGGTTATCTGCCTAAGATTACCACAGTATTTGGCCTCCATTTGAGCTGTGGTTTGAGAGACAGCTGAAACGCTGTGGTCTGTTTTTGAACCACACCGTCAGAAAAACAAGTAAAAGAAAAATACCCTCTTTAAAACACCATCATTTCCAATACAAACATAAAATGACATCAGAACAGGTACTGCCCCACAACAGGACAGAGACCAGTAGGTAGAAATGACTTTGGGGTCATACCTATAACACTCTTGGCAAATGATGCGCGCTTGAGTGTAGCCAGTCCCAGGTCTCCAATCTTGACGGATCCTGTTGGGCCTGTGATGAAAATGTTGTCGCACTTGAGGTCCCTGTGGATAATGGGGGGAGCCCGAGTATGGAGGAAGTGGAGTCCCTTGAGGATTTGTCTACACCAGCTCCGCAGTACTTTAATTTTCATCACCTTGAACCGCTTCAGATATCTACAAGACAACAGATCATAATTTGCACATATTCTTTGGGAAGCACAAAACAAATCATGTGAGCAAATGTTGTCTTTCAAAGTATACTTCACCTCACAAGAACAAGATTCTGACAAATTACATTTCCAGTTTATACAGGGTTCAACAAATAATTGTTTTCTAAAATATGAGACATATTTGTCAGAATATGTATAATAAACAGTCAGTCCTAGTGTGTTTAGTATGCGTGAATTCTGCATCCATGTGTTAGCTCTGCCAAGTTCGAGACTCACGTTTTCAGTGTGCCAGAAGTCATGAGTTCAGTGACCAGTACAATGCACTTCCTGCCTTTGGAGGGTCCCTCCCAGGAGTCATAAAAGCGGACAATGTTGGGATGCTGTAGTCCCTTCAACATCCCCGCTTCCTCCTTAAAGCGCTGCCTCTCTGTCTTTGTCAGCTTACGATCCTGCGAGGGACAAAAAGACAATACTTAAAGATCTGACACATCACTGAGAAGCACAGCATTTATAGATGTACACAGATTAATTTGGAGTAATGAACATTTTAGACGATGCACTAACAGTTATAGTAACAGTAATTACAGCAAATATATGCTTGATGAAGATTAGCAACACCAATGGCAAGTTTTATTTCCCCTTGTTGCATCTGAATGTGTCCATTCATGAGAAAGAAACATTTTCTTCCATCGTCTACAGTCATTTGAATAGTGGAGAGCAAACTAATACTTCAACGGCTTATATTTCCTCCTACACACACAAAATTGCTCATATATTCGGAAACAAGTACACATATAGTTGGGGGCATAGGGATGTGGCCCTGTTTTCTCTGGCGAGCACTGTGAACCACATGGAATCTGTCTAGCTTTGTCCTAGATTCCAAGAAACCCAAAACCAGAAAAGAGCCACAATTTGACTGAGAATTAGAGAAGATCAGTACAGAACAGGCTTCTTACACCGAATCAAAATGGTCCCTTTTTACAAATCTTTTACTATATAACACTTATAACAATATCAACAGGCACACAGCGCTCTGAAATAGGTTTAAGCAACAGGGGGAAATAAATAATCATCATAACCTGAAGACAATATCAATATACATTGTATCATGTTATGCATTTAGATGTGGTAAACCACCTGTTATAGTGTTAAAAACATTGGTTAACACATTGTAATATGTGCACATTAAAAAGATTCTGGCTTCATTCTTACTGTTAATTTAAACAAATCTGTGTATCATTATTCCTCAACAGTGACTACAATGATTATTAATAGATGCCAACTGTATGGTACGATATAAGGCGAACATTGTGCTCACCAAAATCTGTATTCTGAACAAAGTTATGGATGATCAACAAATATCTGGCTTCTGAAGGGAATTACAGCAAGATATATGCAGAGCTAATGGTCAAGTAAAGACCAGCAATAACCACTTATATAGGGTCTGTGTATATTTAAAAAAATAATCTGGAATGTATGCCATCACCCTCCTCAGGTTTCCTGATTAATTCCTGACGTGACCTACATTTACAGCACTATAGAGCAGCAAACCCATACTGTTTAGACAAGCCCAGTTAAACCATGCAGCCAAAGACCTCCCTTGAAACCCCCAGAGACCTGGCCATATGCCAGGCTGTCCAGGAAATTCAGCCCATTTGTGATTGGAGAGTGAGCATTGGCCTTTGTGTGAGATAGAAAACTGCCCGGTGACTCACCATGTTTGAAGAAAAACACAACTGAGATTGCTACAGCCTTTGCTGGAGGTATTTTGGAGGTCTGAGGGTCAAATGTTTTCTATGTCTGGGGCAATGAGAAGTCAAAGGGAAACGTGTAAACTATTTGGAACAAGGGAGGACACTGAATCAGGGAGCAATGTCAGGAAACAGAGGGTGAGGGAAGATGGGAGAGTAATCGAGGCTCCACCATGCACTTGGACCAAGTGACCTACTTACCAGAGTATTTATCTAGTGGGGCAGTGGTTCCCCTTTCTCTTTCTGCGCACCATGTGAACAGACACGCAAAACATCCACGACAGCATTCACAGCCTCGGAGCTTCTAGGCGTTGGGTGTGCAGCACCCCAACCCAGACAAATACCAAACTACTGTATCAATGACAGCATTTACGCTGTAGGCACAGTGCTACACAACTTATTTAACCAGTTGAAAAACTGCTTTCACCTGCTTGTCTGACATCTACTCCCAACTGGGAGTGTTAGTCACTGCTTGAATTCTACTAAACCACTTACACAGCTCTCTGTAAAAACCCTCCAGGAATTTATAGTCTTCCAATCATAAGATACACATCACACTCCCTTTGATTGTCACTTGAAAGAGTCATTTGGTCTGTGTCATGTCCAGCTCTTACTGTCACTGGGATCAGTGCCTGGTAGTCTTTGGTACATCCACGAACGCTGATCCGAAAGACCAAATACCCCCTATTCACAAAACAATGGAAGTGAAACAAACAGAGCTGCTTTCTCTCATTATTACTAACGCTGCTGTACCTATCAAAGACAGACAATTGTCCTTTAAAACAGTTTCTCTCTCATTTACTTATATTTAACAAATAAACAATATTTAAATTGAAATCTTTCAACTAGCAATTTAAAACATCTTTTCATGTCTAAACTGCTGGTTGAAGAGATGAAGAAAAGCAGGGACAGCTACTTCAGATTTGTGTGAAGCTAACAGCAACAGCCACATATGTAGACTGATTTCCATATTATGGAAATTAACATTTAACATCACATCTTTATTTTGGGAACAAATGTGACAATTACTGTTCCACAGGACAGATCCGAAGCTACTGAGGTCTAAAAATCAAGTATGGGTCTCTTCCTTTGACCAACAGTTTGACGTTTAGATTGCAGCCTCGGTGACCTTGGTTTGAGTTTGGCCACAGACCTTTGTTGCATATTTTCTCTCTCTTTCTCCCCATGTTTACAGAGGTTGGTCACGATCAGCTTTCCAATAAAGGCAAAAGGTAAAAATAACGTTGGGCAGGTTTTCCTGACTGATAGGTGTCTCGACCTATCAGCTGAGGTTGTTGTGGTTTGTTTAACGCACCTCACCTTCACTTACGCCCCCTCATCCGAGACATAATTTAGATAGTCTGGCTTGAGAAACACAAAGATGGTCAGAATTTGTTAAACACAGAGCCTTAAAGCATGTATCTCAAAACCTACTAAACGCTTTCACATATTGTGTAAGATTATCTTTCTACAGTTGTTGGTACAATCACATTCTACATGCCATTTTGAGGGAGAGGTTTTAAATGTCTATAAATCAGGAAACCTAACCTAGCAGGCACTTGGGAGGGTAGCAGCAGCTGCAGTTGAATCACAGCAGCTCTATGTGACAGAGTGGGTATGAGTCAGCTCACTTCAGAGCCGAGTTGCCACCACTGCCTCTGCAATATCAACTCTCAGCTGTTAAAAACCTTGTGGAGTCTTTGAATTTTGTATGTAATAAAGTGAGAGAAACCCACAAATAGTAATATCAGTAATACCAAGTCAGACAAGGCAACACTTTGTTTTTGACCATCTCTGCAGTCAGCACCACACTTATCTGAAATCATAATCCCATTGCCGCCGTTTAGTGGCATTCCCCTCAACAAGCTACAGCACAGTCAGGCAGTTGAAGTGAAAGCTCAAGTTAGTAAAAGAGGGAAATTATGTAGTTACTCATTCTAAACTGATCAAACAGAAATTCCCCAAGATCCACCAAAGATGAAAAACAATAGACAAGCCAGTCACTATCTCTGGCAGAGCCTCATACCCATGTATGGTTAGGCATATCTTGACCTCCACTGTTAACGTTTTACTCATGCAAAAACAAAAACTGGAATTAACTCAAGGTTGAACTAAGGCTACAACTCAACAATAAATTCAACTTTGAATGGTCCAACAATATAGGACAGGATATTAAGTAAAGGGCAGTACTTCAATATATTATTGTTTAGTTTCAGCTTGAAATGATCCCAAACTTTTAACACTTACTACCATTTTCTCTGGTCTGTCTCTTCTCACTATTTTCCCTTTCCACAGTTGTGTTACTGTGACAATCAGCAAGATCTTTAAATCTACTTTGAGGAAAACTGAACACACCACCATTTGTATTTGGATAAAAACTCTTCTTTATGCAACCACAACAGTTGGATCTGCATTTGTATTTATCCCTGTAACATCCATCAACATAGCATAGTGTTTATAACACAGTGCGATTGTATCGATTTCAATTTGAACCATAATATTGATTCCAACCATAATTGCCATAACCTTCTATCTACTGACCATACTAACAGCTTCATGACCCGAAGCGTTTCCGTCCAACGTCAGTCACATCTAATAGCAGTTAACCACAGTATCACCAAAGCAGCAGCAGAAAATACTGCTTCTAGGCAAAGGCCATCATAAATAACCCAGCAACCCTAAAAATAGACGGAGTGAAAAAAGCCTGTGATCATGCCAAGGGCTGGCACTGTCAGGTCCCTGCTGTGAGGCCTGCTCTGAGGTTGACACTGAGGGCTAGATGTAGCCCTCTGGGCCACATCGGTGGAGGTCTGGGTAACGGCGGATGGGCCTGAAAGCCAAGAAGCCATGTTTTACAGTTCCACCCTAAATGTTACCTTGTTATTGCATTAAGTGCAGTATGTCTGTGTGGACATACTGGGGGCCCTATGACGCTGTGACACGTAGCAATGAGGACAAAAGTCACAGGTTAACGGACAGACACGAGGACACAGCCAGGCCATTTCACATCTGCCTGTATGACTATTTATCTGAAACCCAACGGGGTAGAAAAGAAAGGTTTCCACTTTAAATAAAACAGGGGGTCCAAAAAGGCACCAACATCAGGGTTAGTGAAAGCATCATTAGATATCTTGATCTGTGTGATTTGGTCTTTTGTCTGTCTTTATCTAACACATGTAACACATTCTTATTAATCTACAGATAATTAATACATAGTATGCACAATATGTTTGGTGTATTCCTAATACAGTATATATATAAAATGTAATGAGCCTCTAATAATAGTTCATTAAAAACTGTAATTAAGAGGACATCAAGAGCGTTGTCCTACACTATTTCTTACAACATATTCTAGATAATCAAAATACATAAGTTAGGCACTACACTCTTATTCTCAAAGTCTGCGCCAGTGATCTGAGGCATCAAAGTTTAAACCTTCCACACAGTTACCGTCAGAAAGAACCAGGACACAGTACAAAGCTCGACTGTCAATGCTGTCAGTTTTGCTTTCTGGTTTATTTTGAGTGCTGTGATGCACAAAGCTGTCAATTCAACCCTTCTTTACTTACTGACATTTAAGTTCTTTCAGTGTCATAAACTGTAAAAGCCAACGAGACAAGTGCACAGACATTCATGCTCTTAAACTTACAGCAATATAGTTGCTGCGGGTCAAAAGCTGTTATTATTACTGCAATAGAGCTAGTGTATAAATAATGTTTTACAATATATTGCAGCACTGACTCATTGTCCATACACTAATAAAAGTATGGCTGCTTGAGAGTGACATGTTAGCTAAGAGACTAAGGGGGAAAAAAAAGTATTGGTCCAACATTTTTACTGCCTTGGTCAACACTAACAGACTTCGATGATAACCCACTTCATGTCATGAGGAAGTCTACCCCGTGGTTTCACTGAGGAATGTTTACAATGCAGTTAGGAATTTCACTTTACAAAATGTGACACTGCTTCCCAAATGTGTTGCATTGAAATGTTAAAAAAAAAAAACAAAGAAGCAGCTATTTTAAAACCTTACAGTTAAACTAAGAACTACCAATCACAGAGATTAATTACAGATGAGTCACTATGTTGTACTACTTGAATATAGTATTTCATTGCCAACGGATGCCATCCACCAGCTGGACAGGCAGCTCCCATAGCTTCCTACGGATGCCTGGGGTTCTCTTCCTCATCTTTCAGTGTTTGGCTTCAGTCAGTACTGGAGAGGAAGGACGTGGGGAGGCAGCGAGAGGAAGATGACATGGTTGAAGATGGATGAGTGAGCAAGAAAGGGGAGGCTCCTAAATTTATTCTCTCCCCCATCCCCGACTTCCTCTCAGTGGTGACCTACTTATTGTTCAGACATGCCTGCAACGTGAGAGCTGAAACAAATGTGTGGGTTCATGGGTGAGGTGAAAAAGGGTGGATGCCTACAAATTCTCTTGACGTTTGTGGACAGATGGCCTTCCACACTGAATAAGCCAGAGCCGTTTTATTCAAACTTTACACTCAACACACTGGAATTGCTCGAAGGCAAAAGCGAATTGGTTCATTCATCCAGAGTCAAATATCTACTGAAGAACTTGTCGTGACACGAGGCCCGTTTATGACAAACTTTGAGAATATCTGAGATCTGAGAATAGCAAACGATTGCTGGAGGTTTTCTGGTATGTAATGAGCATTACAGCGTCACAGGACAACAAGAGAGGCTGCAGAATTTTTGCCATGTTTAAGTTAGATTAAAGGATCTTATGAGGGAAAACCTGTCAGACTTGTTTCATCAGCAAACAGGAAAGGGTTCTGCTGTTGTTTCCAGCTGACAACAAATTCCCAGTGAACACAAAAGTGGCGAGGCTGATTACTTTCAGCATCACTGACTCGGGCATCAACAGGAAACAAAACAATAAGTAAATTAACCAGATGAACGCTACTCCTTTCTTGAAGAGCTTAAAATTCCTTATGATGGAATTCGTTTGCTTTCAAAATGAAATAATAGCATTTGTCATGCAAACAAACAAGTAACAAATGTAATGTAGCTGAAAAAGCATGTGGAAAATGATCTATATTAACATTGTATCTCACTTAATATGCCCTCAGGATATATGGAGAATGTAACACTAGCACTCGAGTGATCATGGGGCAGCTTAAACAACCATGTGAGAGGGGATTTCGGCTTCTCCTGTCGAGCTGAACAGTTTCTAGCACTGAAACTCTTGAGTTCACAGAGGAACAAAGGGGAACGAGAGTGTCGGGTTACATGTTATTTCAGGACAGACCATGTGCATACAGGCTGGTTCTCATTCAACTGTAAAAATGTCTATAAATCAGCCCTTTGCACTGGATACAAGTGGTAACTGAAAAAGACCCAACTACATCCTACAGCCAGTTCAAGTTCAAGTGAGCCTCACAAGAGAGACAGTTAGTCCTTGTTCACTCGGTGAATCATTTTCTATAAACCACGCAGACGAACACAGGGCACAAGTTTACATTTTGGTTTGCCCTTTTAAACTGGTACTCTGGAAGTCACGAGACAATATAAGATAATATGTTTCTGTCTGATAACAAACTGATTACTGCCCCAGTGTTCAGTTGATAAAGCTTTCTAGAATTTCTGCAATAGCTGTCAAATAATAAATTACTTTGAGGTCAAAGGAAAAACAATATAACAGAATAATGTTTAGACAATAATGACTAAAAATCTACTAACTCATAATATCAACTAATGGAAGTAGGAAGACACAGTTATATTTAGTTAGTTTTGCTTGAAAAGGTTTAAAGAAATCATTTAAAAAGGTGGCCTGATAGTTTAAAAGCAAGAAGCAGGCCTTGGCAGGCCGGCCTGCTTCACTTCACACAGGAGATTCCTCTATCAGGAATGTGACCCATTTTACATTCACACAAGCATTCACAGCAGAAATGCACTGAGCATGCGCTTGATTCATCCTGTGCGATGGGGGGGGAGGGGCACGTGTCTGTAATCTTCACATTGTTCTGAAACTGGAGTGCATGTGAAGCTATGGTTGTATGCGCTGCTGCGTGAGACCTATGACTCTCAGAGCAGCGCAGTAAAAGCAAACACTCATGTGGTGAATGAGGTCAAACTTCGCTACGGGCCGTGTAGCTGATTTAACTGGACAGACAGCTGAACTCCACGTTTTTTTTAGCATTTCTGAGAAAATCCTTATTGGTCTGAAGCAGATTCAAAGCAAAGTGGGTTATTCAATTATTCATTAATATAATTATATTACAGAAAAACTGTATTACGGATATAATAATATGGATATAACACTGAAACTGGTTCAATAATTAACTCAAGTATATTAAGGCTCAAATAAATCATTTAAAAGGCAAGATAAAAGACATGGCCATGTTTTTAAAAGGGTCTAAGTCAACTATTACTACCGTTAACAAATGTAGCTCTGGAAAATACAAATTATAATCACTCTAATGGTATTTTTACTCTAATGGAGTTTTATATATGGCATTGTAGACACGCTACATCCTCAAAATGTGTGACCGCTGTCATAATTTATTTTTAAATGGTGAAATGAGTGCGAAATATAGGAAATCATTATCAAGACTACATTAAATCTGCACACCACCAGTCCAAAGTCTTAACTTGAATCTAGTCCAAGTTCATTTCCAGTGTCTAAAGTGAATCCTGTAGCATCACAAAAAAAAAGCAACATGGGGAAATGGTAAGAATCGGTATGCTTTGCTGACAAATGCAATGTGAAACAATCAAAAGGGAAATGCCAGCCATGTCTACGAGAGAGGAAACGACAGCGGCTGCAGCTCAGGTAACACCGCTCTGGTCCACTACGCCTGACTCTGATAAAAGCAGCCTAAACAAAAAGAGATGACGACACTTGCAGGAGAATTCAAAGAACATTAACATTCACACGAATAGCAACTAATAGTAATAAAGGAAGCGATAAGAACAACGATTCTCCCGATTTCATACCTGCAGTTCACACCAAGCCACCTCAACCGTGGTCTCGGTGTCCAGGCCTTTGTAGACCGTCTTGAAGGAGCCACGTCCGATTTCTATATCGAACTTCAGGAAACGCCCATCTGGTGACGTTCCCACGGCTTTGGTCTCTGCCTCTTCGATGTCATCCTGTACTTTTTTCTCCGCTTCTCTCTGCTCTGCCTCTGCTCGTGCCTTGGCGTCCTTTTCCTCTTCCTCCCCCTCTTCTTCTGGTGGAGACTTGGCCTCGGCGGTGCTCTCAGGTTCTGTTCGACCAGGCAATTCTGTTCCTAAGCGCGGTGCGGAGCGGGCTTCTACCACCACCTCTCCGTCGCAGAGATCTCGTACAGCGGCAGGCTCCCGCTCTGAAGGCACTACATCTAACTTGGCTATTTCTACACCTTTTCCTTCTTCTCCTCCTCCACTGTCAGCAGAGTCCTCACTTTTAGCTAAACTTGGTTCAGCCCGCGGCAAATGAGCAACAGCGGCGCTCTGTTGACGTTGGGGGACCGCTTCCCGCGGCGGGGCCCGCTGAGGGGCGGGGATGGGGATCTTGCTGGGTAAAGGGAGGGCTAATGCGGTAGCGTTTGAATCGCTGATGACGCTGCGGCGCAAGAAACGGTGTTCAGGGTTACATCGGTCGCGCTCCATGGTGTGATGCCGGCGTCTCACTTCCGACCGGCCTTCACTCACCATCGAATCTGAACCAGAACTGGGGCCATTTCCACTCTTCTGAGGGGGAGCCAGGAACTTCACCATATTGTTGTCTGGCTTTTCCGACATCCCACCACCCACACTAAGAGTAAGGGGGTACAATAACTGAAGAATTAAAATAAGGACGCTTCCATCTTCGCCATAAAATAAGCTTATATAAAGCAGAATCGATCTGTGCTTTAAAACGAAAAAAGAAAAAGATAGAAAGTCTTCTAACTTCTATCTCCAGCAGTCTTCTTTTATTGCTTAAAGACGGTCTTTATATATATAGTGCAGAGAGTGGAGGTGTAGGATGGGAGGTGTTCTCTTGTAAATAGTATGAGAATGAACACCACAGCAGAAAACAGATCGCTGACGTAGACACACGAGTCCCTTTAAGTCCACACCATCCATTCTGTAAGACACAGGGTGCAGCTTCTATCAAGCATAAGGAATCACTGGTGAGGAAAACAAACGTGCACGGCCTAAAACAGGCGCCGGACATCAAACCGTGGGCGAAGGCAGGACGGCCAGACACTCAAACGCTCCAGTCCAGCTTCACTGCAGGAGAGACAAAAAAAGAAAACAAAATCCACTCGTCAGGTTTCTAAAAGTAACAAACATTATGTCAAACGTCAACAAGATGTTTAAGAGGGCATGCCGAAGCGTTCACGAGGAGAATTTACTGTACACATGAAGTTTAATAACGCCGCTTTCATGAACAGCACATGACATCTAGTGCTTCAGAAATTACCTCTTGAGAGGGGAACTGGACCGTATTTCCATGTTTTTGTGACTAATGAGGACAAAACATTTTGAATTTGGTCTAGTATTGACTGCAAAACATGCAACAAACTGCACAATGTCCAATATATCAATACGCCAACATGAACCTACAGATAAATGAAATGTTTCCTGTACCTTTCACTTGAGTCAGCCTGTGTAAACGTCTCAAACAAGGAGAAGTCTTGTTCTAAAACCTCCTCTGTGGGCATTAAGTCGCCGCTCCTACAGGACCACCACCACTCCTCGACCTGTTGCCCCTCTCCCTTTTACTCCTCTCCTCCACTCTTCAATTGCTTAAAAACATTATTGAAATTAGCTAAATATTAAGCTGGGACATCCGACAACGTGACAATCATTTACATGAGACACAACACAACAAACTTTCTGGCCAGCACTACTTAATTACTTATTTTTTTGTGCAATAACTTGATCCACCACTTAAGTGCAATAAT